AGTGATTTCAATATCTTTCTTATGATTGAGACATAAACAACCTGTGTCTGTTACCTTTTGTTTATAGTTACAGATTCTTTCTTGTCATTCTTGTTTTATATTCTTCTTGATCAGTAGTGGTAATCATATTTTTAGAGTTTAATTTCAGCAAGGCATGTATTTCTTTGTCATTCTTGTTTTATGTTCTTCTTGATCAATAGTGGTAATCATACTTTTAGAGTTTAATTCAGCAAGGCATGTATTTCTTTGTGATATCTAATTATACTTAGTGTTGTTTTTGTGCTTAGGTTATTACTGAAGGTGCTCTCAAGAATGACATGGTGACTTGGTTTTGTTTTGAATGGGTAGAGATTTTGTTTTATCTTTGTTAAGAAATATTCATAGAGATGGAAGGTCTCCTTTTCTTAGATAGATATAATCTATTAGTAATTCATTTTGGATTGTGCACGTTAGTCTTCATGTAAATGGAAGATTCTCACTTCATGTCTCAATTTGAAGAATACTTTCATTAAGTATTTTGGAATTTATTATTATTATTATTAAAATAAAATACCATGATATTTAAAAAATTATGGCAGCATTAAACTTGGTGGGACACTTGTAAAAAATGTCCTCACATTTGGAACCTATAAAATGTTCCAATGCACGTTAGTTTATGGGACTTATTATTGCGTCCCATTAAGATTCAAAAATATTGGGACAATTAGATGTATCCCATTGTAAATGAGTTAATGTGACATTTCAATAATGTCATTTTAGAGAAATTATTGTTAAGACACTTAAATATGTCTCATTATGTATTAGTTAATGGGACATTTATCTAATGCCATGTTAAAGAAAACATTATTAGGACATTTGGACATGTCTCATTATATATGAGTTTAGGGGACATTCTTGAAATGTCCAATTATATATCACATTGTTAGGACACTAATAATAGTCCTAAATTATAACTTGACCAGTCAACATTCTCAATTCTTTTTGGACGCTTGCTTTAAATGGGACGCAAATATATGTCTCAATGATCTATTATGACATTGAGCTGGAGGACATATTTGTATGTGTCCCAATTTTGCATGCGTCTCTATAAATAGCTTAATGGGACATTTGAGAGTGTCCCTATTCAACCCTTTTGTTGTAGTGCGCATATGATATAAATTCATAACTATATCACTATTGTCATACTATGTATCACATAAAATTATCATATAAATTGCAAATTCATTTATGCAATTAAATATTCCATGTAATAAACACAAATACACAAAATTAGCACTTTATTGGGATCAAAGTTCTTTATTTGATTAACCCAAAATCAAATAATTAATATGTGATGCACTCACAAAAATTCTGCACACGGGAACTTATTTTATTTTATTTTGATTTTCTTAGGTTTCGGTCGTGAACTTTTCTGTCGACTTTATCCAGGCGATGATTAAGTCGACGAAGCCAAACAACAAACACTTTAACAGATGTTGACTTTTTTGTCAACTTTAATTCTATGGACGAACAAGTCGACAAAGCCAAATAGTCAGAGATATCAAGGAACGACAACTTCTATGTCAACTTTACTCTAGTCGACCAACAAGTCGACAAAGCCAAACAAAACACCGAATAAATTCCAACAGATTTTGACTTTATATAAAAATTTACAACATGCACTCAAAGCACTATTTCTATAACGAATGCCAATTTTGCATTTTCATTTCAAAGCGTTATAAAAACATGACCAAATTCTCTATCAAACCTTTTATGACATACATTTTCTTAATTAATCATCACATTAATTAAGTATTTGATTTTGATAGAAACCACGCATTTGGGCAATCAACAAATAATGCATAGTAAATTTCTTTTACATGCAAAAGTTCTTGAATTCTACAACCATGTTCCACTCAAACATAGATCTCACCACTATATTTATGTATTTATTAAATATATACATACCTTGAACTTGGAATGTCACAATTCACAAGTAAAACATAATTCTTATTTTGATGACGAGGTCCATTATATCCTATCATTGTCATTTCCATTAAATCCAATGATCTGCCACATTTATACCATTTTCGTGTGCAACCAAAATATCTTGCTTGATTCTTCAATTACTAGCCATTGTTTAACAGGAAAATTTAGCCTAAAGATTGTTAGAATTCTACTTCAAGAATAGTGAACAACAATGGCTGCACTATATCAAAGAACAAAAGGAAGAATTTATGATTAGGACAAAAGAAAGTTTTGTCTCCAAGTCACAAGTAAACTTGCTTTCCTTTAGGCTAAATTCGCCCACTATACCATGCAATTGTGTAGGCGAATTCCCTATGAGATAAAATGGAGATCATATTGTTTCACTATGCACTTTAGTGAACCAACAATCTGATACAAGGATAAAAAATATCATTGGAAAAATTCCAAGTATTTTGTGATTTCATTGTACACTAAAAGAATTAGAGGAAACTCTTGAGGATTAGACGTAACCCTTGGTTATGGTCCTAGACATAACTTTTCGTTAACGTCTTTTCATATGGAGTTCATAGGCACAACCTCTTAGTTGTGTCCTACAATATATTGAAAACACCCAATAGACACAACATATTAATTGTGTCCTCACAATATATCGAAAATAACTCCAACAATTCTTTCTGCTTCATGGGGTTGTTTAGACCGCTAAGGTTCTAATGTAAAATGCTAGACATAGATATGGGTCTGGTCGAGCTTCCATCGTAACATTTCCTTGTTTGCATGCCACTCCATCCTTCCCCTCCTTTTGTAATGTTGTCATTGTATGTTGTGCTTCATCTATATCTCTCGCATGAGTTCAAATCCATTCTCCATTGCAATGATAGGATCTTTGCCTTTGTTCCTCTGTCCCTTCTTCCTTCATTTTTTTTCCGTTCTCATGCTTCTTGCATTTCCTTCTGTTCCGCTTCATCTTTTCTGTGTTTTTGTACCTTTCTCCACTCCGTAGTTTGCACCGATACCACTTGCCTTGCTCAATTTGCCATCTCTTTTACTGTTTGTTCTGCCTTTTTCTTCCTGCACATTTCCTCACCATGACCATAAATTTTTACAGTGACCACACAAGATAGGTCTCCACTCATAGTACACACTTTGTTCCACCAAATTGCCATTCTCATTGACAAAATGTGCTACCAGTGGGGGCTTATCCTGAATTTCAACATCCACAAGCACTTTAACAAAAATCGCCCTATCCGTTGATGCTGTTAGTGTGTCTATAGCAATTGGTCGTCCAATTGTGCTTGCTATACGACTCAGTGTTGCTGCATTCCATAATTTCAATTCCAGTCCATGAAATTGAATCCCGACTAGGACGTGCTTAATCTTCTTATGGTTCTGACAATAGGTTCCAATAAAGCTTCTTCTACTCATTCCACACTGCTGAACCTTATAACATAAAGGCCAAAAGGTAATAGCAATACCTTATCCACTCCGATGTGCTTCCAGGTGAACCTAGAGTAGCCATCCATGACCTTGAATGGGGGATTTGCACCCAAGACGAAACTGATTACCGATGTCTGCCAATACTCCATTCCGGTGTGATGTCTGGTTTCTGAACTAGCGCCACTCTTATGCCGTCTTGTTCTTCTGGCGGGACATACTCCAGTGGGATTAATTCCTCCTTTTCTCAATTTCTTTACATAAAACGTATCCCAAGCTGAAGAGTTAACCCTTCTTTGGCCCTTTGTTTTTTGATTGCCATCTACATCCCCATCCTGGCTCACCGCAAGCATCTCACTAAGCAATTGGAGTGTGTTAATTCCCCTCATCCTTTTCACTGATCAGATCTTGTTTTAGTATAGATCGGCTATTATTCGACGAATTTACCTCATCCATGTGATAGGTCTCTCTATTCATTGTTGGGCTCATTTTTCCTGGTGAATTCTCCATACTTCGTTGCTCATTTTCATTTTCTGTTGATTTTGCTAGTTTCCTACCTCTCGTCCTCCCCTTTGCCATGGCGGGCGCACATTAATTAGCTAGACACATTCAAAGTGCGCCGAGAGAGAACGACAAGAGATGAAAACAAATTTAGAGGCCGGTTGTTTTCCCAAGCTGAAGAAGTTAACCCTTAAATAAAATGTAGGATAAATCAAAATGCCTTATAAAAAGGACTAATTATACATAACAATTTCCCTTATAAAAACGTAGGGTATAAATTTTTTCCTCCTCGAAATTCATAACAATTTTCTTGAGCTCTGCCAGTGCCTCCTGTGTAAAAAAGGAAGATATATACTTCACTCTGATCATTAGTATAAGTAATTTTGATTTGTCCGAAATTTCACCTAATACACATTTTTAATTAATGAAAAAATCTTAAAAATATTTTTCACCAATCAAGAGAACATGTAACCACTCAAACTCGAAAATGAATTGAAACCCAAACGTTGGGACGCATAATTCCTTTAAAAATTTGACTAAAAGACGGTTTTTTTATTCTTGTTACAAGTTTTGTTATAAACCTAATAATAAAAAATTAAACGAGAACAAAAATGATAATTATAGAGACCCTATAAGGCAATACGAACCGCTAACAAAATGAAAACGAGAACGAAAACAATGTTCTTTTTGGTCCAATAAAAAGATCAGACTAATTAAATAGACGAAAAAGTATCCAATTTCTTCAACGCGTACACTTGATTTCTCTAATCACATGGCAGAATTGTTCATTGTTAAAGATTCACTCTTTGATCAGTTCGTCACTACTTAATTAATTACTCTCTCCATCCCAAAATATTCTCATATTTGAATTTTTAGTTTTAGTATAAAAAATTAAATTAAAAATAAAAATTTAAATTGGACAAAGGGAGTATTTTAGATTTTTTTTATTATTAAAAAAGAGTTCCCCCGTTAAGTTTCCATACCGTATAAAATAATAATTAAAAATAATCTTGTGAATTAATAGTATTGTATTCTGTTTCTTTTTTTCACCTCCAAATAGAATGATCTAGAACACCTTTGCCCGCCCAATGATTAGACGGATTTTGCCCACCCATTGAATAGAAGGATCCAGAAACCCTAACTAAAACCTGCCTATAAAACAACTTCCACTCTCAACCTTCTTCTCTATCTGCCTCCCCTGTTCCCTCTGTCATAAAACCCTAGCTATTCCTCTGTTTCTGCAATTTCAACTTGTGAGAGTTTTAATCGAAATCTTCAGTAATGGCGGAAACAGAGTCGTTTGCATTCCAGGCCGAGATCAACCAGTTGTTGAGTCTCATCATCAACACCTTCTACAGCAACAAGGAGATCTTTCTTCGTGAACTCATCAGCAACGCCTCCGATGCTCTGGATAAGATCCGATTCGAAGGTTTGACGGATAAGAGCAAACTCGATTCCCAGCCGGATCTCTTCATCCACCTGATCCCGGACAAGACCAACAACACGTTGTCCATTGTCGACAGCGGAATCGGGATGACCAAGGCCGATTTGGTGAACAATTTGGGAACAATTGCAAGATCCGGCACCAAGGAATTCATGGAAGCCCTCGCCGCCGGCGCTGACGTCAGCATGATTGGGCAATTCGGTGTTGGGTTCTACTCTGCATACCTTGTTGCTGACAAAGTAATTGTTACAACCAAGCACAATGATGATGAGCAATACGTTTGGGAGTCTCAGGCCGGTGGATCTTTCACCGTTACCAGAGATACTTCCGGCGAGGTTCTCGGAAGAGGGACGAAGATCACTCTTTTCCTGAAGGAGGATCAGCTGGAGTACCTTGAGGAGAGGCGGCTCAAGGATTTGGTGAAGAAGCACTCTGAGTTCATCAGCTATCCTATTTCTTTGTGGGTTGAGAAGACAACAGAGAAGGAAATTTCTGATGATGAGGATGAAGAGGACAAAAAAGATGAGGATCAGGAAGGAAAAGTTGAGGAAGTTGATGAGAAGGGTGAAAAGAAGAAGAAGAAGATCAAGGAAGTTTCTAATGAATGGTCACTGTTGAATAAGCAGAAGCCAATCTGGATGAGGAAGGCAGAGGAAATCACCAAGGAAGAATATGGTGCTTTCTACAAGAGTCTTACTAATGATTGGGAAGAACATTTGGCTGTCAAGCATTTTTCAGTTGAGGGTCAGCTTGAGTTTAAGGCAATCCTGTTTGTTCCTAAGAGGGCTCCTTTTGATCTGTTTGACACTAGGAAGAAGCCTAACAACATCAAGCTGTATGTTCGCCGGGTGTTTATCATGGACAATTGTGAAGAATTGATGCCTGATTACTTGAGCTTTGTCAAGGGTATTGTTGATTCTGAGGATCTTCCTTTGAACATCTCCCGTGAGATGTTGCAGCAGAACAAGATCTTGAAGGTGATCCGCAAGAACTTGGTGAAGAAGTGCATTGAGCTTTTCTTTGAGATTGCTGAGAACAAAGAGGATTACAGCAAGTTCTATGAGGCATTCTCCAAGAACCTGAAGCTTGGTATCCAGGAGGATTCTACAAACAAAGCCAAGCTTGCTGAGCTTCTCCGGTACCATTCGACCAAGTCGGGTGATGAGCAGACTAGCCTGAAGGACTATGTGACCAGGATGAAGGAAGGCCAGAATGAGATTTACTACATCACTGGTGAAAGCAAGAAGGCTGTTGAGAACTCTCCATTCCTTGAGAAATTGAAGAAGAAGGGATATGAAGTTCTCTACATGGTTGATGCCATTGATGAGTATGCTGTTGGTCAGCTCAAGGAATTCGACGGGAAGAAACTGGTTTCTGCTACCAAAGAAGGTCTCAAGCTTGATGAGACTGAGGATGAGGCTAAGAAGAAGGAAGCATTGAAGGAGAAGTTTGAAGGGCTTTGCAAGGTGATCAAGGATGTTCTCGGTGACAAGGTCGAAAAAGTGATTGTCTCGGACCGTGTTGTCGACTCTCCTTGCTGTTTGGTTACTGGTGAATATGGCTGGACTGCCAATATGGAAAGGATCATGAAGGCACAAGCTCTGAAGGATTCGAGCATGTCGGGATACATGGCGAGCAAGAAGACCATGGAAATCAACCCGGAGAATCCAATCATGGAGGAACTGAGGAAGCGTTCTGATGCTGACAAGAATGATAAGTCTGTGAAAGATTTGGTGCTGCTGCTGTTTGAGACTGCTCTGTTGACCTCTGGTTTCAGCCTTGAGGAGCCCAACACCTTTGGGAACAGGATTCACAGGATGCTGAAACTTGGGTTGAGCATTGATGAAGCTGATGAGGGTGATGAAGACATGTCTCCTCTGGAGGAAGGTGATGCTGATGCTGAGGGCACCAAGATGGAGGAAGTCGACTAAATCTGATGTTTTTCTTGAAGCTTTCTCTTGTGCTTTTAGTTACTTGGCGACTGTTGGGGTTAATAGTAGCTTTTTTTAATGCGAATTCTTCGCTGATTTTGGAATTCAATTTCAAATGAACAAACCACTGCTCAAAGCTTTCTTTTGAAGAAAGGCCAAATGGCTACGAAACGTAAAGCATTGTTATAATACAGGGCTGGCTTTTCCAGATAACTGTAGCTGGAATCTCCAGTTCCAACTTCACCAACCCAACTACCCAAGGCAATACAGTGTTGTAAACAACATGAGTAATTAAATGGCTTTCCCCCGACTGATTAATGATGAGCTTTCCGAGATTTTGGGAGCCATTGGTTAGCAGAGAAGTGTAATACTTAGTGAAATTTTCAGCAGATGTACTGCCATTAGCATAATCACCTAGAAGTTTTGAGAATGGGATTACTCGGGTTGAGGTGACTTCGGCCTCGCAATGTAATGTAACAATGAGAAAATGGCCTTTCAGTTGAGCCATATAATCAAACAGGATACAGTGTAACCCAAACTCCAAACAACAAACAACGACACGATTTATTTATTTATGTACTTTTTTTTTGCATATAGCACTATACTAAATGTTACAAACAACGACACGATTTATTTATTTATGTATTTTATTTTTGCATATAGCACTATACTAAATGTTACCGCACGATGTACGGGATTAGAATTAAGTATTTTTATGAAAAGTTTTGTAAAACTTTACTAATAGCTTGAAAAGAAATTAATCTTATTATAAAAACGCATTAAATTTTGAAAGCAATCAAAAGGTCCTTTAAATTCAAGCATGTAAAGAAGAAGAAATTAATTATTATATATATCATTGCATCAAATGAGGTTGGGCCAACATAAAACTAAAAAGGATTGTTGTGTAGTTTAAAAATCTCTCTCTCGTTTCTCTATTTATATAATATATTATAGATATAAAATATTATGTTATAAAAATGATTTTTTCTTAGTTATAAAACTCAAAATCATTGAATTAGAATATAAATTGATTAGTTTATGTTTCATATTGAGATTGAATTCCAAAATTTATATTTTTTTTGTGTTATAATTGACGTAAAAGTAATAACTATATTTAGACTCTATGAAACTAATTAAGTTCTATTTATTAATAAGTTTTTAAAATTTGTTATTAAATTTTTGTACCATTAATTCAACAAAATAAATATAAAAAATAAAATGATACCTAAACCGAATTCATACTCTGAACAACTGTTTTCAGAGTAACTAAATATAATTTTCTAATTTAAAGTTCTCATGGTTGTACATAGAATTTGAAAAGATAATGTTACATATCTAGATATATCTAATACAATGAAAACTTTCACCTCGCTGGATTGAAGTTCAACTGAAGTATGTGCCATCATTCGAAGCAGGAAATTGGGAGAACATACAAAAGATTCTTTCTTAATTGTTAAGGATTTCTCTTCTTTTCCTTGAGTTACTCAGGCTCATTAGGACCAAATCATCCACTCCACGCTTTGGTGCTTAACATGGTTGCTTGGGGCAATGGTGATAGTCTTTCAGACATGATAGCACTTCCAAAAACCCCAAAATCTGCCCACTGAAATATTAATTAGATACCAAACTTGATTCAAAATTATCATAAATTAATAACATCTTCTTTTTTTTAATGATAATATTTAGGTAATACAATATACAAAAAGCCATATTTGAGTCAAAATCTATCAATCGTAAAAAGATTAGAGGGTAACCAAAAACCAAAGAATTAATTGTAACAAAAACCCTACGCAAATTTACAAAATAAAGAATAATAATAAAATTTACCCCCGAGTTTGTCACCCCGGGCATGCCTAGGGTGGTCTACCTCCTACTATGGTTTGCAGGCTATTGCAGTGGGCATGGGTTTACCCATCTCTGGTGGGGTTCCCGGCGTTAAAAAGAAAAACCCTACGCAAATTTACAAAAAAAAGAATAGTAATAAAATTTTATTTTTATTCTGTAGTTAAAAATCGTAATAAGGAACTGGGTGGAAATGGTGTTCTTCACGCCGATTTTGTTGTTTAAAAAACAGAAACGATGAAGAAGAAGAAGAGAAAGAAACAAAAACAAAAATAAAAAATAAAAAATAAAAGACAAATTCATGTTTTCCTTACTTCGTCATGGTAATTTTCGAACCTACAACGTACAAAGAGAACATTTTGATTAAAAAAATCAGGATTCAATTTTAGAGATTAAACCTACCTGTACTTCATTAATCAAGAATTGAAAATGTTTTTGGGGTAGAATTAGGCCTCATGTTGCAGCCCGTGTATATGAATGCAATTACTATTTATGAGATTTATATATATAAAAGAGGTGACACATGAAAATTTAATATGGAGAGCGGTAATTCAAATAAGTTAACCTTTTGGGAAAAATAATTGTGATTATCACCACGATTATCTCCCTGATAAGACTTATATTTCGGTCATTGATTTTATTTGATTATATTATTTACTACAAATAGAATTTATTATCTACAAAAAAAATTCAAAATGAAGCGCAGAATTCTAATTATTCCATGATTTTGGGGAGAGTTAGTGTCTTTTTAATTTTGATTGATGATTTTAATGATAAGATAAGAAAAGAAATCAATTCTACCTGAAAGTTGTGGCTGGTGTTTTATATAAATTTAAGGACTATTTAACAATTACATAAAGTATTTTTGTTTAAATGCATTAGAAAATTGCTACATAGGATAAAATCCTATGTGGCACCTTTAGAATTCTTTTTTATTTTCTCTCTCTGATTTCTCTCTTAGTATAATATACTACAGACTATAGATACTATAGATATTCTCAATCATTGGACTGGATGAATTTTGGATTCTCATTAAATACAAGAAAAAAAATTCATTTTAGTTTCATGCATTGAATGGTATGCTCAATATGTATATCGTCATCCAATTGCACAACCATCCAGTGAACTATTCAATCATAACACTACGATATGTATATCTTTCTCCGACATTTGAAATCATAGCTTCTGGATAAGACGCAGTCACATTCCCCCTCCCCCTCCCCCGCCGGAAGATAGACCAGGTTTGGGAACTAAACTTATGATTCAAGTAATAATCAATGTCATCTTTCTGCTGAAATATCTGCTGGATCTTCATAAGGCCAAATGCTTGGTTGCAGATGGATTCACTAGTTTCTGTATAAATTTACTAATTTCCAAAGGATTCCCCATACATAATTTCTTTTGCTATTTCTGCATCATTTCCTGAATTTCTCTGTACCCATCTTTCTTAGGTAATCATATATAATCCAACAATTTAATGACAATCTAATCAAAAAAATTACATGGATGCAATGGTTTTCAAAGGATTAACAAAGGCTATGATTACCTAAGAAAGATGGGTACAGAGAAATTCAGGAAATGATGCAGAAATATAGATATATATATATATATATTATTAAATAAAAATAACTAAAATTAGAAATTCAAATATTGAGGGAAAGTACGTAGGAAGAACTTACAATTTGTTTACGATCCTCTGTTCTCTGGCTACCATGAAGTGGAATATGAGTTCTTCAATTTGGATCAGCTGTGGACTCACCCGGGGAAGCTATCTTCTACAAGTTTTGGGAAGAAAGGGAAAAAACACGATTATCTCACATCGGAAATAACTAGACTTGTGAAAAATCCGACTTAGCTGATTACCTCTATATTGAGTTCACATTCCAATATACTCCCTTCGTCCTAAAATTATTGTCCAGTTTGGTACGAAGGGAGTGTATAGTTTCAAATTCCCGTCTTTAAAACAGAATTATAAACCTATTAATTGCGTTCACTTCTTCTTTTACGTTTTCCAAGAGCTTCTCATCCTCCTTTATCTTATTTATTTATTTTTAATAACAATTAATATTGATCCAAGTAGCTGAACCATTAGAAAGAATTTGATCATACATACTGCATCATCGTCTCAATACAAATGATACAAATAGCAGCATCATTATCCCTCCACGTAGAAAAGCTAAAAATCCATAATTCTCACAAACCAAAACACAGTTCTGAAACTCAACTCCAATGGATGAACTTCAAATATTCTAAAATAGTTGGTTCGTATTTCTTCTCAAATTGATGGTGTACTGGCTTGAAGCTTGGATTATTGAGAATCAAGGGGAAGAGTACAAATCAAAGACAATGATTATCTCTATTAAGAAGGTCAAATTCAAACACGAGTAGACGGTGTTCAGATTTCTCGACGAAAACTCCCAACGTACTTACTATTCATGTTGACATAGTATCTTGGTTTATTTTAATTAACAAACAAAAGTAAGATATGCCTCAAGGACATAATCTATGTACTTAATTGATAAAATGTTAGATACCCAAGGCAATCAAGGTTCAGAATAACCTATTTCCCCATTTTAATGAAAATTATTTACTTTTCCACTTCTTGAAATTTATATATGCTTCTGTGTGGATAATCAACGGTTTGCTTTGCTGATCAGAAACGCCTTTAAAGCAATGGAAAGAAATCAACATAGTGCTAAGATTAAACTCATCTTTTAAAACGCTTGAATTATATTGCCCTAAGAGTACCGAAGGGCTGAACCCTAATTTCAAAGAGGGATCGGCCTCTCATCATAGTGCTCCTAGTTTATTTCATGGCAGCGAATTTGAATCACTAATCAATTATGATACATTTTTTCTTCGATCGAATACAGATTCTGATGAAAGAGGATATACTTGAGTAAATGTGACAAATTAAATCCTAGAACGTTAATAATTTTTTTGCCGTGGGTAATGCTACAAGATTAATAATTTACTACCGGTAACAATATAATTATCAGGTGTGGTTGGGTTTTTTTTATTTTGGAACACCTTATTTTGATCCAATGGTTGTTATTAATCTTAATCATCTAACGCCTATCAATGTCAACTGAATCATTCAGTATATTGAACTGTAGTCGCTCCCATATGTATATATATACAAGTATATATCATCTATATATATATATATATTGAATCTCAAAAATTGCCACTTATGTACACATATTTACATCCAGCAAAACTCAATACTGACAAAATAAGGTCAAAACTGTAATACAGTGCATGTTTCTTCCTTTACCATAAACAAAAAACTTTAACAGCTGCTTCTCTTTGGGTTTCAGTTTCACAAGCTTTCCATAAAACCTTCACCTTAGCTCAGTTCTGATCTCCTGCACCACTGCTTCCACTTTCCTGTCAGAGCCTCCATGAACTTTACGATTTCTGTTGTGCCAGATATGAGAGTAACCGGGAGCAATTGCTGCAAACACAATCCTCTTCTTCAAATTGCGCCCTTGCCACACAAAATCCATTCGAGACCAAAAATGAAGACCCAACCAAACTGCAGGAGGATGAGAACAATCTGAGATGGAGGTCGTATCCAGTGAAATTCTGGATTCGGGATCAAGATGTCAAAAACTATGGGATATGACCTGTTCTGTCGTGATTATTTGATTTTGATATTCATTTTTAGTTCAATTAGAATTAAATGAAGAAATTCAAATATGACATCACTTT